TAAACATGAACACAAATTAATTATAGTATCAAAAAAACAAAGAAAGTTACTAAATGCTTCTTTTCAAGTTTGCATTATTAATGTATTGGATTAGTGTTTTCAGTAAATGTATATCTGATGCGTTGATGATTGTCTTGAATTTTTCTGTTATGTCCATCTCATGTAAATTAGTAAATATTTTGTTAAATTCATCGTAAAGAGTCTTTCTTTCAGAAGAGTAAGCTTTACAAGATGTAATGAAGTGGATTTCATCCTCTAATACATTGCATGTTTTGCATAGTCTCTTGCTGAGTGCTGTTTTCGGACGAGTATGTCTTCCTACTTCAATCTGTAATTTGTGGCACTAAGCCGTAATCTTGCTAGTGTTTCAACATCATGGAGTTTATTTAATTTAGTTAAATATGGTGCTTGTTTAATTTCATTGTTTATTTGTCTGTATGTCCGTAGTTTTGAGTTCTCTCTGTTATTGTCTTGATTCCATAGTTTATTGTAGTAGTCTTTAGATATCTGATATAAATGGTCTTTATTAATGTTATTGATGTCAATGTTGTAAGTTGTTTTGATGTTGTTGAGTTTTTGCAGCCAAGAGTTAGGATAACACTGTTGTTTCATCTCCATTAAAGCGTCATATGCAAATGTTATTGATCCACTCTTGGTGATGTGCTGATAATATTTTATGGCTCTTTGTTGTACTAAAGATAAGAGTGGCAGTCTTCCTAATTCCATTCGACATCCGATGTTGCTGCTTTTGTTGTTTAGGGATAATATCTGGCGACAGAGTCTTAGGTGACATTTTTCAGTGTCTGTGTGGTCCCATTGTTGTATGTTTATATGTATTCCCCATATTTCTGAGTCATATAATAGTATAGGTTGTTGTATAGTATCAAATAGTTTGGTCTTCAATCTGATGTTGTTCTTGTTTTTTGGGTAGATTGTTGATAGATTACGTTCTGCTTTTTTTGCTTTATCTGCCAGTATTTGTGTTGTTTTTGTCATGGTGCCATTGGAGTTGATGTTGATGCCCAGATATGTGAACTGATTTGTCTTCTGTAGTATTGTTTTGTTGTATGTGAAAAAAGTATTCTCTGATTTATGTCCGTTTTTTGTGAACATCGTTGTTTTTGTCTTTTCCGTGTTTACTGTCAAGCCCCATTTCTCTGTGTATTGTTGTAGTGAGTTGATGTTTGCTTGGAGTCCAGACTTTGACTTTGAAAGCAGGGCTATATCATCAGCATACATCAGATTTGATATAGCTTTATTGTTGAGTTTTGGCATATGGTCTGTGTTGAGGTTGAGGTCTTCTGATAGTTCATTTATAAATACATTGAAAAGTGTTGGGCTCAGGGGGCAGCCTTGTTTCACTCCATTTTCTAATTGGAATAGTGGCGAGATTTTTCCATCCAGTTTGTTTTGGAATTGCATGCTGCTGTACATGTCTTTAATGATGTTGTACATTGGGCCACTTATGTTGTGTTTATGTAGTTTGTACAGGAGTCCATCTTGCCATACTATATCAAAGCATTTCTTGAGATCTATGAAACATGCATACAGATTTTTGTTCCTTGATTGATACTTTTTAATCAGTGTGTGTATTGTTAATATGTGGTCTATGGTTTTGTGTCCTTTCCTGAATCCTGCTTGGTTTTTGTGTATGATGTTCTGTTTCTCTAGAAAGTTGATAAGTCTTGTATTTAGAATAATTGCGAATATTTTGCCTATATTGCTGCTAGTTGAAATGCCACGGTAATTTGATGGATCTAATGCATTGCCTTTCTTATGGATAGGTGTTGTTGTATTGATGTTCCAAAGCTGTGGGTAATCTTCAGTAGTAAGTACATGGTTGTATAATAATTGTAGAGCTTGACTCAGAAGTGGGCTACCATATTTCAACATCTCTGGTGGTATTCCATCTATGCCAGATGATTTTCTATTCTTTAGTTTTCTTAATACGGTAGTGATTTCATGTAATGTTATTTTCTTGTTTAGGTATTCGTTTGTTTTCTTCATGTTTTCGATGTTTCTTAGTGCTGTATTTATCTCTTCTTGTCTGATCTTTGAAGTGTTTGAATTGGTGCTGATAGATTTAAAGTGGTTTATCCATTCTGTATATGGTTTTTCTGATACATGTTTACTACCGTTATTTTTGATGTTTTGTTTTGTGTAGTCATGTATTGTCTGCCACAGTTCTTGTTGTGTTGTAGTCTCATTTAGGATGTTGATTTTATTTTGAAAGGTAATCCATTTCTGTTGCTTAAGTTGCTTCACATATTTTTTGAAGATTTTCTTTTTCATGTGGTATTGGGTCCTGATTCCAGTATTATATGGATCTTTTCTCATTTGTTTTGATATATTGATAAGTTCTTTCTTCATTATATTGCATTGCCTGTCATTGTTTTTCTTTTTACTGGCGTGTGTTTTCTTAATTTTTCTTGGTTTTGATTTTGTAATGAGGCAATTCTTTGCTATCTTGTCTATCATTTCCTGAAAATCGGTGGCAATGTCTTGAGATGAGTGATTGGAGTAGTCTTTCTTTATGAAGTTGTTGATTATATGTTGTCCTTCTCCTATTTGTAGGTATATTTTATATATTTCTTTATTTTCTGTTGACCACTTGTAATGTCCAGGCATTAAAGGTAAGGTGTTGTTTATATTTGTGTGCGTTTCTTTGTAGATTGGTATATGTAGTTTTATGGTGGTTGATATTTGGCAGTGATCAAGACCTGGTAAAAGTGGATTTACTTTAAAGTTCATAACATTTTGTATTAATGTTTGGTCGATTATGGTATAATCCACAGTACTAGCTCCATTCCATTCATAGCAAGTTAACTGGCCTGAACTATCTCCAATTGTTCGGCCATTTAGGATGAGCAGCTGTTGTGTTTTGCAGATATTTATAAGTTCCTCTCCAAAATTGTTTTTCCTTTTATCCATATTATGTCTTTGTTTGGCGTGTATGTCAGAAACATAGTAGTTTGGTATTGGTAGCAGATTGTTGTCTTTGTCATCATCTTCAATGTAGTCTGTTAGATTGGCTGTTCTGGCATTGAAGTCACCTTGGAGTAATATGGATCCTTTTTGTTTATATTGGTTTATCTCTTGATTTAGAATCTGGTAAGGGTCTGTCTCTTGTGTGTCATAATATGAAGAACCTGATGGGGGTATGTAGACATTGCATAGGTATATGTCATTTTGTTGATTGAAGAAATCCTTGTTCAGTCTGCACCACACTGTATATTCATTTGTTGATGGTAGTATTGATACACCTTCTTTAATTTTATTCTTTATATAAACACTTATCCCACCTGAACTTTTCCATGCTTTCTTGTGTTTTTTCCTCAGTTTATGATGGATAAAGTATTCTTTTGGTGTAGGTAAAAGGTCTGTTGTAGTGCTATCTAACCATGTCTCAGTGAAACAGTATATATGGTAATTGTGTATTTGGTTTCTATGTCAATGAGTTCTTTTGTTTTCACATCTCTGTTTGGTGGTTCTGGTATGTAGTTATATCGTAGTCCTTGTGCGTTGATGTGTCCAATTTGAAGTAGGTTTTGCGCTACTTTATTCTTTTTATTTATCCTCATAATGTAATACTTAA